GAACATTTTGGCATACTTCAGAAAAAATGGATGTGTGTGTGTGTGTGTGTGTGTGTGTGTTTTGTATGTCCGCTTTTTTTCGTCCACGTTTTCGGGCGCACGGATCAACCGATTTGAATGGTTTAAAAAACATTCGATTCCTATTGATAGGGAGATGTGCTGATTAGTTTTTGGCAAAGGCAGGTCCAGCCGTTACGGAGATATGGAGCAAAGAGTGCAAAAAATAGAAAGCGAGTTTTTGAGAGAACGGATCAACCGATTTGAATGGTTTAAAAAACATTCGATTCCTATTGATAGGGAGATGTGCTGATTAGTTTTTGGCAAAGGTAGGCCCAGAGGTTTCGGAGATACAGAGCTAAATTTAAAAAAATGGCTGTTTTTGAGAGAACTAAGCGTCCGATTTAAATGATTCAATGAACTTTCTGCTTTTTTCAACAAAATAATTGATTTTGGAAAAAAAAAAATTTGTTTCTAATTTTTTTTTCAAAAAAATTTTTTTGTAATTTTGGATTAAAAATTCAAAAAATCACCCAAGCTAAGCACAGTCTAAGCGCCACTCTGGTACAAATGTTTACCCAAGTGCGTTTAGACTGTTTGTGTACTGGAGCACTTTTCCAATTTTGTGAAAATTATTGAAAAATGTGAAATTGCCGCCAAGCTGAGCACAGTATAAGTGAAAATGTCGCATAGAATTATTCGCAAATGCGTTTAGACTGTGACTATGCGGAAGCTCTTTTTCAATTTTGTGTAACTTTGGCAACTATTTTTTTTTTGGAATTTGATTCGAAATGAAATGACGATTGTTAATGTTCTGGAGATGATAAATTGATTTATTTATAATTAATTTTCCATAGGGTAAGTAATCGCAAAAAAATCGAAAATGAAAATTTTTATATATCTTCACGTTTCAGAGGTTTCTGAATATGTTGGCATACCTTAGAGAAAATTGATGCATGTGTGTGTATGTGTGTGTGTGTGTGTGTGCGTGCATGTGTGTGTGTTCGGATACGGATGAAGCAATTTGAATAATTCAAAAAACATTCTAGCCGTTCCGAAGATATGGGGCAAAAAGGGCCAAAAACGGTAACTCAGTTTTTAAGAGAACGGAGCGTCCGATTTGTATAGTTCAAAAAACATTTTACTTGTATTAACAAGATGAAGATTTGATCAAATTTTCATGAAGATAGGTCTAGCGGTTTCAGAGATCTAGTAAAAAAAAACTAAAAAAAAATAACATTTGGCGGTCAACAATAATCATTAGACATTAGACATATGCATATCAAATTACCAGATATTTTATTGAGATTTTAACAATAAGTATGAGTTTTGTTTACATTCCTATGGGTTCCGTACCATTGTTTTTCCGTTAGACAGCGACGCGGCGCTTACGCGCTTTATATTTTGTCCCTATGCAGTTAAAGCAGTACGATTGCTTTGAAAAAAAGTTCAGATCTTCCAAAATATATCAAAATGAAGATAACATTTTTTCCAAAAAAAAATTTTTATAAAAAAAATTGTTTAAAAATTTTTTAAAAAAAAAATTTTTTTTTCAAAAAAAAGTAATTTTTTGTCCAATTTAAAATTTCTAAAAAATCTTATTTTTTCGAAGTAAATTTTTTTCAAAAATGTTAATCGTTTTTAAAAAAATAATAATTTTTGGCACGGGAAGTTCCAGCAATTTGCCTTAAGGCACGATGCCTTAATTGCCTTAAGACAGAATTCCACTTACAGCTAGTTTTAAATTGTAATAATGAAATAGATTTTACCACAAGGAACAATAATCATTACTGTATTAATAAAGACATTTAACTAGTTATTGATAAATGTAACAATATTGTTTATAACTATTAGGTCTGTAATGTACACCGTTATTTTTATCAGTAGTGCTTACAGAAAACCTTCAAAGTTATAGCATTAATATTCATGAGGATTATTTAAAAAGAAGTATTTTTAAACATGCTTAATTTAATAATACCTAAGACGCAGAGAAATATAAATCTGAATATTAGATTTGATCACGCAAGTTTCATGAATATTACGAACATGAACTTACTTCGGTAAAGAGTCTTTATTGAAGACAAATTTTATTTAATAATCCTAGTACATCTGTGGGTTCACATGTTTAGACACGTGAGGACTAGATTTTTAAGGAATAATGAAACAGAAAAAAACATTTCTAAATACACTTTTCTCGAATTTATTCATTTACTTCTGAAATAATTACAAGTGGCTGATGTAAGTGGCATTTTGTCTTGGCAAGCTGCATGAATATCCTATATGTCTATAAATGTTTGTCATTCCAGATCGAACTAATAAATAAACAATCGATATAATAATTTATGACTGATTTATAAGTATATATACAGATTTTATTTAGGAACCTTATAATATTAAAAAATATTGCAGATAAATTTGGCAAAAAACTCATTATTTTAAACTAATACAGAATTTAAATCTTATATATGATTGTAGAAAAATGAACAAATGTACACATCATGAATGATTGCATGCATGAATATCCTATATATTTATAAATGACAAATCCCAGATCGAACTAATCAATAAACAATCGATATAATAATTTATGACTGATTTATAAGTATATATACAGATTTTCTTTAGGACCTTATAATATTAAAAAATATTGCAGATAAATTTGGCAAAAAACTCATTATTTTAACTAATACAGAATTTAAATCTTTTATATGATTGTAGAAAAATGAAGACAAGAACACATCATACATGATGTATTTTTCTTAAAAAGCCTCATTATTACAAACTGATTGTGAGGTCAAAATTCGGCCCACATGGACACACATATTTTTTCGTTTCAATTTTGGTTTCAAATGGTTCGGAACAACTTGGAAATATAAAATTAACAAGTCGGATTTTCTGACGAAAAACAGACTTATTCTTCACGTCGTTAAAAATATTTATAATTGACTTTTTAAATAAATTAATTTGATTTTAATAACCAACGGTTTGTAGCATATTTATTGATGAGTTTCATAAAACCAAGATTGCTGTGGTTTAACATGATTATATGAAACGTGATCGTACACTGAGAATTCTTTACAAATTCCTATGTAATAAAATAAAATAAAGATATAATCCTGCGTTCCAAGACTCTGCAATATTCCTAAATGAGGATTCTGTAATTTAGTTGTTTTTCCATAATTGTTTTATGTTTATGTTAATTGTTTAAAAACACATTTCAAAATATTGTAATTTAATATTGATACTGTTCTGATATTTTGAGTAAATGCAAAAGAAAAAAAAATCTTCAAATTGTTATGATATCAGATAAAATCAAAGCATGCCCTATAAGGAGCCCTATGAAATATTTTCAAAAATATTTACTACAGAAAAATAAAAAAAATAATAAGCGAGTTGAAATACATGGAAACGTTTTAGGATTGTTATTATTATAATTATTATTATTATTATTATTATCATTATTATTATTATTATTATATAGAAATTTTAACGCATGTCCTGAAATGGACAAGTAAAACAGTAGCATTAAAAAAATGACTTCAAACGTACATAATCATCTGACCATCTGAGAGATTTTAAAAATTGGCATATGTATATGAATGAAAAATGAATATTTTTTTATACTTAGCATTGTCTTGTTCCAGCTTAGTTCGCTTGCAAGTGAGTTCGAATGATCCTCGAGGCGACTTTTGTAATTGTCTGAATGTTTTCGTATTTCATCGTTTATTTTGTTCATTTTCGTGCTTTTATGTATTAACCAACTCGATATGTTCAGTCAGCTTGTTTGAAAGCTGATCCTCAATTTAAAGAAATCAGTTCGACTAATCGCCATAAAAAATTAATTAAATCAAGTGCTTGTTGAATTGGCTTTTAAATTCATGAAATCAGAGCAAAGACTAAATTTGCGCTGCCACATGCCCACACAATATCTCCTATTATTGTTGCTAGATTCAGAATAACTTGAAGAGTCGAGAAAATATAAAATTATCTTATATAATTTATTGGTAAGAACATTCAAAATATAGTAATCAAATGTGCAAGATAAAATCGAAATTAGGCTTTTCTGATTGTACACGTGCACATTTTGGATCTTATTGTGCTTTTAGCCTCATACTGAAATTGTTTTCAGTAAAGTTTAAAATAGTTTTTGAAACATGTCAATTACTATTTGTTTGTACAAGTCTCTGAACTTTAATAAAAACAAATCATCGTGATTGGACCTGGTGAGTCATCTAAAAAACAATCTTGGCAAAACCCAAAGTACATGGCACTATGGCAGAAACATAAATATTGTGCAAAATACTTGCGCAACCTAATATATATATATATATATATATATATATATATATATAATATATATATATATATAATAAAACATATTTGTCACGCTCTACAAGTAGCAATAAAATACTTCAACATATCATCTGTAGAAATTTTGGTGCATTTACACATGCGAAAACTAATTGAAGGCCACTTTCGATTTCATTTAGCTTTTGTCACGTACAAATAATAAAGAGTTATGTTCACAAACTTATTTTACAAAATATCTCACGCAGAGAAAATATACAAAAATAAACTACGTTAATTGTCTTAAATTAATGAACGAGTTGGAATTTGACTGAAAAAAATCATAAGTAAACAAAATATAATTATATTTGGAATAAATTTAGATGTTGATCAAATTAATGAAAAACTGAGAGAATATGTAAATTAATTTGATTCGCTATAATCGACATTCTTTATCAAAAAACACCTGTAAGAATACTCTTACCTTATATAGGAAATTTTTAATTTTTAACTAATTTAGCTATTGTCAATATAATAAAAAATGCCTATTACACACGATCATATTAATTTAAGTATCAACATCATTATTATATCAGATCTATGTGTTATACGTCCATTATAATTTAAGGCATTTCCTTTCGAATTCATTCTTAACAATTGGAGGTAAATTATTCCAAACAATACATAACCTCGAATGCAAAATATAAAATGCATACCTCTGCCAAAACCATATCAGCCACCTGCAACATTAACTTATAAAGTGCAGTTATTCTTCAGTTTTTATTTATTTTCACATTTTTTTAAATAAATTATTTGATTTAATTTGACACAAAACACTTCCACACAAATGTCACCTCTTCACTGAACTGACAGCGCCAGTTGTGCCATGCGCATTGCCAGATGACAGCAATAAATTTCGTAACTTGTTTCAAAAGTTATATTGTTTAAGAATAAATTGAATTGTTAGAAGTAATTAACTTGTATGTAATTATTAGATAAAGTACATATATTAATTGAATTGTGATTTAACAACCGATTTAACGATTAAAATGAATTTTTGACTGTTATTTTGATGAATCTCATTTAATGCTACTGCCACCTACGAAGAAGTCTCTGTAGGTAAAGAATAACGAGTTTCTTGGAATATGTGACTAGTTCAAAATGATTATATGTTGGGAATTAAATACATTTAAATAAATATCCAGTCTATTCGTATTTTAAATATGCATTATTTTTTAAATATGCATTTAAACTAGTGGTGTATGGCATCGTGCCTTAAGACAAATTGCTTCCCGTACCAGAATTAAATATTTGAGGGAAAAAAAAGTATTCAATAAATATTGATCAATGATTATAACAATCGTTTTAAGCATTTTTAATAGATAATTATAATCAGTATACATTTTATCGTTCATAAAATATACATCGCTCAAAACACTTGAGAAGGTCTACATTTGCAGGATATGCCGAATAAATCCATCTGAGGCAATATTTGTTACGATTAGAATAACGCATTTGAAATTATATACATTTTTAAACTGTTTTGTAAATTTAAAATTTATATTTGAAGTATTATATTAGTATATTTTTGAAAACTAAAAAAAAAATTTTTCTGAAAATTTTGAAATTGCTTGAACCGTATAAACTTTAGAAATTAACAATCTTGGTACGTAACCTCACAAAATTGTAACAAAATTAGTACACATTTTTAAAAATTTTATCAAATGTCTGATAATTTGATCTGCATATGTCTATGATCATTTTTGACGGCAAAATATTTTTACTTTTTCCTCTGTATCTCCAAAACCGCTAGACCTGCCTTACCAAAAATTTCATTTTGTCAATACAAGTAAAATGTTTTTTGAATCATTCAAATCGGGTACTCCGTTCTCTCCAAAACTGAATTACCATTTTTGGCACTTTTTGCCCCGTCTCTTCAAAACGGCTGTGCCTAACTTCACCAAAAACTAATCAGTACATCTTCTCATCAATAGGAATCGAATGTTTTTTGAATCATTCAAATCGGTTGATTCGTGCGCCCGAAATCATGGACATAAAATTGTATCCAAACATACACACACACACATACATCCATTTTTTCTAAAGTATGCCAAAATAATCAGAATTTTTTGGAATTACTATGCGAAGTTATTAAATTAAAATAAAATTATTATTTTAAAAAGTGATGAAAATTGGATTGAAACCTTGGTTATAAAGTATATAGTTTTTCCGAAGTCAACATGATTGTTAAGGAGATATTTTTTAGTCTAGAGACATGAATATTATTCGATTTTTAAAACTCAGTAAAAATATTTATAATTCATGTCTTGAGAACAAAAAAAACATAGTCATGAAGTTGTAATTCTAGAAAGTGATGAAGTTGGGAGTCTCAAAAAATTTAGCCTTGAAAATTTTTTCATGAGTTTAGCCCTCCAAATAATCTGAATTAAAAAAAAATCGTATATTATTAATCTAGAATAATATAGCCATCGTATGAACTATTACAGTATTATATAAAAAAAATCACAAAATAGCGACTGTTGTAAAAAATGTTTTTTGCAACTTATTGTAAATTTTCCAATTTAAAAAAAAAAACAAAAAACGGTTTTTGAGTATGAATGTAGTTCACACTGAAAAATAGTTTATAAAAATGAAAAAATTACAAGTACATAAATCAATCCAGTATAAGTTAAGAAATGGTGGAAATCGTATCAAAAAGAAGTTTTGAGAAAAATACGATCTATGTCTCTGAAAATAATTCAAATTAAAAAAAGCTATAGTACACATATTATTAAATAATTAAACTTTTTTAAATATTCTAAAAAAACAAAATCGATTTTTTTAATTCTTGTATAAAAATACCCCTTAATTTACAAGTTTTCAAAAACAGAGGAACACTTGCCGGGCATAATAATATTGCTCCCCAGGTTCCTAAACTTAAGAGAAAGCAAATGTTGAAAACGATAAAAAAATGTTTTATTGCACCAAGGCCAACATTTATACAAAGTACCTAATAACTTCCCCTAGACTATGTTAATGAAATCTGAATTTTGTACAGAGAGATATAAATTTTTAATAACAGAAATATGTAATATTTTATGAGTTGTCTCAACTAAGAACTTCTATGCCATTAACCAGACAATTACAAATGCAATTATATTCTCATACTATAAAATAATGATAATAGTGTTATAATAAATTTTAATATAAGGAGATCAAATTCTAATGTAAGTACATAAGTATTGGAATTACTTACTTATTTTTAATTATTTTAGTTATTTTCCGCTGAATGAAGGAAAGTCTAAACGTATGGATATCAAATAACTTATAAACAATTTGAACAATGTTTACTGATGTCAAAATATGTGAGTCAAAAATCATTTATTGAACGCAAACCGTTGCCTATCCTAAATATAATAACAATAATAACAATAAAATTATTATTACAATTTCTGTAAATCAGATAGTTTTTTATCTGTGCAACAATTCCAGATAAGAGCTATTTTTAATCGGAAACATTTTCCGATCGATATTTTTAGATGCAAATCGATGTCACTACTTCTTGACATCAGGCTATCCGAAGCGGGTATCAAACCTGGAACTTCTTATTCCCTGTAACTGCTAATCGACGTGGAAACCCTATCACTATCAATAAAAAATTAAAGCTTGTGAAGACTTTTTGACTTGTAATGTTAAAGAACGTTTTATATGCTTATAATATTGTGAAAAAAAGTCAAACAAATATAGCAGTTGCGTAATATAGTCCGACACTATTATAGCAAATTATTAATATTAATAACTGTTATTAGAACAAAATAGAATTCATGCATTTACTGTTAACAAATAGTAACAAAGATCTATATAAATAAAAACTGTATAACAATTCTATATAAATCAATAATATAATAATTACATTTCCTGTATTTTTTCCACAATCAAATATTTTATAGCTTCGAAAATTTGCCAGAATCTGTTGTAAAAGATACCCACTCATCTAATAAAAAGTTGATGTTTTTGGATACATCGACGAACAATTTATTATGTGACCTATAGCAAATACTGTGTATGTTCGTACGTAGATAGTAATAAACGGTTCAGTAAAATTGTTTTCTTTATGGGCAATGGATGAATACACGATCATTCTAACTAAAATCTTTATTGCCCATTAAAAACAGGCTTCGAGCGAGTTTATTGATGCATTGATGTTTTACAGATTTTAAAACTATTAGGAACTAATATTTTTAAATATCTTTTGATATTTTATTTTAATTATTACACCTAAATTAAAAGGTTCAATTACGCTTTGTAATGTTACCTTTATTAAGGAAAAATAAAACATTTTGATTCAAAATAAACCCATTATTATTAGGAAGAACCGTCGAAGCAATTTTGGAGATTCGAAGAAAAACTGGTGACTGCCAGTCAAAAACTTTAAGTGCGTTTTTTTTTAATTTTTATACATATATTGATTTCTCGTAAATATGTTGTGTTTAGTTCTGATATTCTATACTATTCAAGGTTTCAATTCATTTATTAATTTTGTCCATCTAATATTCAGTTACAATATTTGTAGAGTGTTATTTGAACAGCAATGAGAAATATGTATTTCCAAGACGGCAGCCTAGTGATTGATCATTCTTGTTCGCGATAGATTATATCAAAAATATTTCTGAAACAATGTCAAAATATATAACAGCAATGCTCCAAAAGACTATTGTATTAATTTTATATTTACAGTCTTTAATCTCAAGTGAAAATCGAACATTGCTACTGTGTGTTTGTTTGATATAAAGCTGGCCTAGGTGTGATCGAACCCAAATCTAGGTTTTTACCACGGTGCCATAGTCACTTCCATATTATAAACAAATCTGCACATTTTATGTATAGATACTTAATGAATCAGTAATTAGATTTGTTTTATTGAAGCTGAATAAAAGTTTTTTGGAGTAGTGTTTCTTCGAAATTGCTTATTCCATATGCCATTAATTTTATGTTATAATAGGGAAATTTGAACATCGACTTCCTCAGTTTTAGATCACTAAAGTTACCTTACTAAAATATATTAGGGTAGGGCGCATCACAAAGTTCCAATTTGACTTTGAACAAATATATCGTGAAAACCAAAACAATAAAAAATCATAACAAATAACATATATCAAATAACCAGCTATCTGATATTCAGTAAAAATCCCAGCAAATTCATCATTCTAGAAATGTGTTTTTTCTTGTTTTGCAAAAATTTGTAACCAGGTCCTTTTTACCTCATAGGCGTTGTAAATTAGAACGGTTAAGAGGCAAACCTATCCAATGTTTTATTTTAGTTTCAAAGGGGTTTTACAAAATAATAGCTACATTATTCAACCAATGCAAAATATAAATTTCATTGGTACATTTTTTACAGATATAACACTATATAGGAACTTAAACCGGTATTTCATCAAAAGTATATATCAGCAGAGTTGTAAAAACAATTTATTTAATTTAACTCTTGTAAATTTCCTCTTTAACTTTATTTACTAGTTTTTACATCTTTGCCAGGATGGAGGTTCAGTTGGTCCATTTTACCCCACGCATATGAAAACTGTTGAATCTACCTTAAAATTAGCAATACATCTTATACAACAATTACGTAACGTTTACTTAAAAACTATATAAAAGTCTAAAAAACTAAGCAACAGTGCTCACAATCAAAACAAATAAAATAAATAAACAACAAGAGAAAATACTTTTGTTGTGGGTTTTTAAACATTTAGTTCAGTCATTATAGTAAGTTTGCCTCGGAATTCGAGATACCCAGCTGTAAGTCTGTAAATGTATATTGACATCCTAAAATTGTC